CATCTCTCTCTTTTTTGAGCTTCTTTTTTCCTTTTCATTTCAGTCTCCGTGTCCGTAACAATTGAAATATTCCCAAAGAAGTTTATAATAAAGTTTCTTTTATAAATATCAAGCAGAGCTTTAAAGCGTTAGCTGTGATGCTCTGCTTGTGAAAGTAAATCTGTTGGGCAATTTCTTGGCACTCAGACAACAATTCTGAGCGCTACTCTGCTGGACAGGACACAGTATAAAAAAAGAATAAAAAAAGAACGAAGGCAGAAAATGTTGTACATACAGGTAACAGTGCATTTCTCTCTGAGTAAAATGAGTTGTTCCAGACATTGTTCAGATGAGCAGCAAACTTGATTAGAGAGGGGGAACATATAAAGAAAAGCAGAAAATTATACACAGCTCAGCTTAAAAGATCTCAAATGCTTTAAAATGAAACCAAAACCCAGAAGACGAGAAAGAAAACTGAAAGCTACCATTCCAATCGATTGAAGAATAGCAAAAATGGAAAAAACTGAGCCAATGTTTAGCTCCAATGAGATCAAAAAAGTTTACAGTCACATGTTAGTAACCGGGCTGAAAGTTAAGTAAGTGATGCCAATCTATCAGTGTGAATCCTTTGCAGAGTCCCATAGTTGGAAAAAACATCATGTTGTGAAGAGATATTAAATTGCTAAAGGAACACAGTGACTGGGCTAAGGAGAAATTTGACATCTTGTCAACTGACAAAAGTAAGATTGTTCTTTTTGGCCCCAGAAAGTTTGCTATCTGAGCCTCAAACATTAAACTGAAGCCACAGTACACTGTGAAGCACAGTGGTGAAAGCACCATGGTGTGGAGACGTTTTTCATACTTTGGTGTCGGGCCTATGAAGATAATACCAGGAATTGTGGATCAGTTTGAATGCATCAAAATGCTTTGTAGAAGAAATGTCCTTACAATTGGTGTTTCAATACGACGTCTCCAAACGTAACAGTAATTGAGCAGTATCTTAGTTCCAGAACAACACAAATAGTATTATGGATCAGCCAGCCTAATCCCCAGACCTTAATCAAGAAGAAAACCTGTTATATACATCAAACATGCTGTGTCTGGGCCAAGACCAAGAAATCCAGTGGAAGTGAGGAATGTAGTCCAGTTGGACTACCTGTTCAATTGGGCCAAAGTTGGTAGACCCTTACACAGGTGTGAAGCAGTTCTCAGAAACAGTAGTTATACAGCTAAATATCAGTTCAGTGATTCAAGGTAGATTGAAATATTTAAGTATTTTCAATACATACATGTTATATTTGAGGTTGTAAAGAAATTTCCAACACTGACATTGTTTGAACAGCCTAATATTGCTTTTTCCTTACTTCCATTTTGCTTTGGAACAGAATAGGTGCAAGTACTCTTTGTTGTTTTGTGGTGAAGAAATGCAACACCTTAAACTAATTATTTGTTTTTGTGGCATTAATGTCCTTTATTTTGTAATTGTTTTTTCCTTGAAAGTAGACAGACAGGAAATGGGGTGAAGAGTGGGGCAAGACACGCAGCATAGGTCGCTGTGGCTGGGACTCGAACCAGGGGACAGCCGTGTCAAGGGCCGAAGCTTCTCTATACCTTGGCCGCGGGCTCTAACGCTGTGCTGGCACTGTGCCCAACTTTAACTATTTTGAAGATACTAATGGAATGAAAACTTGCAAAATTGAACATTTAAATAAAGAGATGTATCTCACAGAGTGAGAAAAATTTAAATAATTGGTGATCAGGGATGAAGTGGAATAAATTTTGTTTTTCTTTGAAATTAACCACCAAAAACATCAAGTTATACCACAGGAGAAATACAAACATCCTGCTGGTGAAATCTTCTCTGCTTCTTGAAGGGATTTAGTTCAGTTTGCTCTTTAAGAGAGAAAACTGAGCTTTAAGAGCTCTTTAAGAAAGCAAACTGTAGGTGACTATGACTCAGTGAAAAGAGTGGTTGTCTTGCAATCTGTAAATTGTGGGTTCGATTCCAGCTTTCTCCTGCCACGTTGATGTGCCACTGGGTGAGGCACTTAAGCTCAAGCTGCCTACCGATCTGTGTATAGGTGTATGAATGTGTATACATTTGTGAGTGCAACTGGGTTAATGTGGCTCTAGTGTAAAGCACTTTGAGTGGTTGGTATGACTAGAAAAGCACTATATAAATTCAGTCCATTTTCTATTACCATTTAAGAGATACTGGATTAACTGATTGATTGACCCAGCAGCAGTGTACTAAGGAGACATAGTCTAATTTAAAACCAGAAACCCGATGACTTTTAGCATCTACACGTGTTGTGTGCCTTTTGTTATTTTCTGTGTATATTGCATGTTTAAATGCCATTTTCTCTACACGTTAGCATGATTCCTATAGGATGCCCCAGCACCAGCAGACCTCCCAACCTGTCTCTGTGTGAGTGCAGCTTACAGGCTGCTCTCCCAGCAAACCTAATTTACTGTCGGCTGTGGCTGCCAGCGGGCTACTGGAGTTCACTGCTGCTAAGCCTGTATGACCAATCACAGGAACATTTCACCAGCCTGGGACTAGGGAAGAAAGAGAGAAATTGTGTTCACACAGTGGATGTTTTTATTACTGGTCTAGAATGCTGTCACTTTTATTACTGGCTTTGTTCTGGCTGAGTCTCAGTGTAATTATTTTGATCTGTTCTCCAGTCTTACTCTCTCTGTGTTGCTTTCTTCATCTTCTCACCTTTTCTCCTTAAATTCATACAAGCACTATGTCTTAACCTCAAGTTCACCACTTCTTAAACTTCCTTTTGTCTGCAGAGGCTTTTCATTTACCTCTACAATGGTAGAGGTGTTTTATACATATCAATAATTCAAGCTGATCAATACTCTGAGTTTAAACCTATTTTTGTCTTGTGTCAGAAACACATTACAATGTGCATCATTTATTTCTGGTGATATTTCACCTGTTGTCTATGAAAAACTACCACTATAAAATATTGGAGTACTCTCTACATATTCCTAACTAGAGAATGTAATATCTAGATCACAAATGAGACTGTTTCCCAATGTTAAGAGCAATGATTTGTAATTTCACATACATTAAAATAAATGACAAAACAGACTAAATCAGTTGATGCATCTTTAGTTTTTGTTAAAAAATATCCAGTCTCAGCTGTCATCAGGTCTTCAAGAACGCTGTTCCACAGCTAAGGGAAGATAGGAGAACAATGCTCCATCATGTGTTTTAATTCTCACTTTAGGTATCAGCAAAAGGCCCTTTAAGAAAGACCCGAGGGGTTTGGAGGGCCTGTAGGATAAAAGCAAATCAAAGAGAATAGACTAGGACCATTAAGAGTTTTAAATCCCTGTGCAACACTTAAAATGAATTCTGAGGTGGAAAGGTAGCCACTGCAGAAACTTTAAAATCAGTGTGATGTAAACTCAATCAGAAAGCAGAGGGTTACAATAATCTCTTATACAAATTATAAAAGTGTGAACTCAGAGTCAGACATTGTTCTTTGTGTGATAAAATGTGTTCGCAACATTTTTAATTTGGTTTTTTAAACTTTGAAACCTGATCTAAGGGTTCATTGCCAGAACTCTGAGCTTCAGGCAGATTTATAGCACTTAGTTTATGTATCAAAATCCCATATGAAGAAAACCTTGTAATTAAGCTTTAAATGGCCAAATACCATGTTAGAACCAGGTCACAGGGAAGAATCAGGGCTGCAGTATTGCCCCTCTTTGGAAAGTTTGGTTTTCGGCCTTTGCTCTTTATTCTGTTGTGTCTCTTGGCAAGCTTCTGACCCCAATGCCAGAGAACTCTCAGGAGACAATGATCAAAGTTTAACAAGTTTATTGAAATATAAAGCAGATGTAGATGACTGGTCCCTGGTTCCGTTAACATGGGATTGTGGATCACTGAGGAAGAGCGGAAAGAATAAATGGAGAATATTGTGAAGAGAGTAATAAGGAGTTTATCTTACTGGGGTTAGATCAGTAGTGTCGAATGAGGAGGAGTGAGCAGAGTCTGGGGGTGTTGGTCCATGTGGTGACCTGCAGTCCGATATGAATTGGTGGAGCATTGGAGATAGGACAGGTTAGGCTGGAGGGTACGAAGGAGAGAGGAACTTTGATGTTGCCAGTTGCGAAGGAAAGTGCAAAAACTGATAAAAAAATAAGTTAAAATTTCTTAAAATGAGTGTAATTGCCATTAATTTGAGCAGGAAAATAAGATGATCTGTCAATGCAATGAGTATTTTTTCCCTTAAAAATAAGCTAATTAGATATTATGCACTTAAAGATAGAGTTTTTTTCTTATTTTAAACATAAATCATCTTATTCCATTGGAAAATTGTCTTACTTGCATGATTAAATCAGGGGCAAATACACTTATTTCAAGAATAATTGGCTTACTTTTTTCAATTTTTGCATATGGTTCAAGGCAGTTTGAACTGTGAATCCAGGAAGCGTCATAGAATGACAGATCCAGAGGAAAACCTGTGAGGTAACCTTAGGAGATGGGAGAGAGAGCAGGGTTAGCATAGCCAAGGGAGCACAAGGAAGAAAAACAACGAAGAATTACTCAGAGGGCTAGAGGTACCACATGGGTTGACACTCAAATGATCGTCAAATGATCATCAACCAACTGGTGGCTGATCAGAGGCAGATGAGGCCAAGCAGCTCCACCCTCCATAAACCTGCTGCTGAAACCTGAACAAAGCGTGTTTTCTACATCTAGAGAATTGAATAAATAACAGGTTGCTGCAGGAGCCAACACAGTCTCTCTTAAATATTGCCGCTCCCACACACCCGTAAAAACAGAGCCACTGACAAAATCAGACAGTAGAACAATCTGTCTGAAAACACAATTTAAACAATCATTTCCAGGTTTGAAATATTTTACCCAAATGTACCGTCAGGAATGATATATTCAAGTAAATCGCAAAAAAACTTTTGTATTCATTTATATGTCCTCACAATTACTGGAAAAGTAATTTATGATGTCTACCTGTTAGCCATACTGTCTCGTTTGGTCTCTCAGCTCTGTTAGTTTTCTGTGATTTTATCCCCAGGGGCTAAAGCTCTTCTGAAAGCAATCTCACTTGTATTTTCCTGATTTTCTTTTTCTCCTGGACCTGGCCACCCTCATTCTGCAGCGCGTCTCTAACCGGGCCTAATTGGATGTATTAGGTTTGAGTGCTAGCATGAGTTCTGTGTGTTTTCCAGTTAACCATGACCAGACTTCCCAAACGGCCAGAACAGTTGGGATAAAAAGGCTCCAGGGACTAACTCCCACCTCTGCAGGGAGGGGAGCTTTTTTGTTGTTGTTTTTTTAAGACAGGGCTCTTGAACAGAGGTAGAGAGGCAGAAGTATGCGGACAAATGTTTCAACTGCGTCCGACCCTCCAGACAGCTGAACATAATCCAAGATTGTCAGTCCTACAGCTAATAATGAATGACTATAATCCATTATTTATCAGCTCTGGAGAAAATATTTGCAATTATCCTGTCACATCCTGCCACTAAAGGTGAAGTTTTGTTTTATGTGTAGTTGTTAAAGGTTTTATAATAAAAGTAGACACTCGATTTTACAGCATTCACAAATGATTTAAAAAACTAATTACTCATGCAGAGAGTATAGAGCAGATTTATCTTCTTATGACACATTGTTAAATGGCCGGGTGAGTTTAGCAGCTCACTTTAGAATTTAACTGGCCACATTGCCTAGCTCATCTGTTTTGATATAGTGTGCCATCGGGTATCCACGCCATTAAAATAAACAGTAACCCGTCGTTTGACTTTTCAAATCGATTTTTAGGTGGAGATGAATCTGCAGTTCAAACATATCCCTGCAACATATATTTAAATTATATTTAAATTATATTTAAATCTAGTTGGAAACTGACAACCACACACATTCGCCAACAAAAGGCCTTCACAGTGTCAACAACTGCTCTGAGTTGGTTTATGAAAAATTACCCAAAAAAAAGTGGACATTTGTGGTTGAAGTGGCAAAAAAAAAAATCCATATGCATCTGTACTTTTGAAAGACACTGTACTCTGGTAACATATCTGACACTGGGACATTTTTTGTGTGCTCTGCTCTCAACTTCTGCCTTAAAAGTTGCATAAAGTGCTTGAAGTCAGGTTTCATCTCAGATTAGTTAAGTGCTTTCACAAAAAAAGTTAAAAGAACATTTTAATATGGTCATTTCGTGAACGTTCTGCCTAAAGATGATGCTATTTAAAACATTTATTTCTATGTCTCAAATGCGTGTGCATATTATACTTGTCTGAAACCTTAATTTTACTGTTAGTAAACATAGTATGTTTGTCAGCATCTACTCAAAGCTGATGCATTTTTATGTGCTGTTCAGATCAAACTAGTGTTTCTACTCATACTTCTATTTAAATCAATGTCACTTTTTGTGAATACAGAAATAAATACATCTTTCCCTGAGGTTAAAAGCCCTCCAGTCTGCCTCTTGGCCCTCCAAAAGTTAATAAAGCTTCATAATGCTACCACCTTCCTTCTTTAATAATTATCCCATCCTTGAAATGTGCACTTATTAATTTTTCCGCTCAGCTGAACCCTGTAACAGTGTGTGTGTGTTGTAGTCTAGTGTGTTGGTAATCAGAAAGCCAAATGGGAAATCTTCAGCCGTGATGACGAAGCAGAACCATATATCAAAGTCAATGTGGACACAGCATGGCTGACCTTGAGCCAAAATGGCAACAAGCTGCTATCGACATCAAATCGAAATAACTATTATGTTCACTGAACTGTGGATGTGTGGCCGATCTCATTATGATTATTGTTCCATTTGTTGTGGAGATGGCATTCAGCAATGATATAATAGAGTCACTTAATATAAATGACATGCAAGGTGATAGTTAATACATCAAGATGGAAACTGTTCCTACTTGGACTGAGCTGTGCAACACCCCACCACAGAGCTGGCTGCCTGCTCATTTCTTTGCCTGTGGGGTCACCTCAGATGTGCTGACTAAGCTGTTATGTCTTTATTAG